TCTACCCAGATTGAAACACTCAATGAAATGTTAAAGAAAAATATCAAATTGGCTCTCCTGAGCCAAATTTTTTATTCACTGAAGTTTTTTTCCTCCTCACTTGTTTGACCTTTTTCCTTGGTCAACAAAAATGACTTCCAGAGTAGGATATCATATGAGAATATTTCATATATGGATAAAATTGTTCTCTGCTTCATTGACATTACTCAGTATAAAGACACAGGGAGTCAGTGAAACAAGAGTTTGCATTCTGCAGCTGAATTACATTACAACAACACAGATGGAACTTTAGATGTAAAGCCATATTTTTAGCCAAAGCACAGTTGCAGCGGTGTCATCTAATATAGTTACAGACATATAGGAAGATGCTTACAGTAATACACATTTTTTAGTTTTAGTGAATGGCTGATGCACAGTACCTATGTATCCTGTCTTTGAGAAGTACAATCCTTTAACAAGAAACAATGAAGTATTGTATTTCCATGCATGGCGTCATACTACTGCTTCACTTGGCTAGCGTTCAAACTGTTCCTCCAGTTTTCCCTTTGTGAGTACACGTGTGTGAAAACTGGTATTTTCATGGGCACTTGTGTAATATCTCCAGGGTGAAACACTCATCATTTCTGTCAGAGAAAGCATATATTCATTGTAAGAATTATGAAATTCCACCTTCAGAGCACAGGTGTGAGTTTTCATAGATTTGCAACTGTCAGAGGGAATGTTCAGTGTTTTCATGGTAAAATGATCATTTCCAACAGCAAAATCCCCTCATTCCATGAAGGATTTGACATGGTATCAGAACCATATTCCTTTATTAGCAAGTATTGCTGTAATGTTTCTCTAGTAGAGGAAATTATATTTCTTTTAGCTTATTGCATATCTGAGCTTAAAAATTAGAAAAAATGTCTTATTAAAATAGGAATTTGAAAGCACTGGAAGGATTAAGAATTTAAAGGAACTAAGAAAGGTGGGAGTTTGGGTATACTTTTCTGCACAAACACATATTCACAGTTCTCAGTTCCTGGGCTTTGAGGTCCCATGCAGACACAACAGCAAGGTGCCGGACAAAACTTTCTGGAAGGATGAATATACACCCATCCAATAATTTGATCAAGGAATAGTGTGTGAATATACATAAGGGCAGCAGCAGCCTCTTGACACTCTAGGTTGTCAGTTGCTTTAAGAGATTAAAAACCCTTTGGAAGCCCCTCTTCACCTAGTCCTTCCCAGTTAAAGAACATAACTGTTACAGCTCTGTGAGGTGTAAAGAAAGATCTAAAATATATATTAAATTTTGGAGGCTTTACAGCCTCTCTGGAAAATGCTGGATTTTGTACTGCTTAATATTTCTGGTAAACAGGATGCAGATCTTGGGAACAGGCTAGGGAGAAGTATTCCTAGTAAGAAGACTTAATAGAGTGAATCAGCCAAGAAGGGAGCATGGAAAGGAACAGGCTGCTGCTTGGAAAGCTTGTTGCTACCCACAAGGAAAGCACTGCTGACTTTGTTTTCCCCGGCAAGTTTCATACTTTTTAGTAAGAAGTCTTCTGTAGTATTTTATAGAGCAAATAAAGTAAGAAACAGCTTTTTGAAGGCTTTTTTTCTTGCCTTCCTCCCCAGTAAGAAATAAGAAAAGGGCAGACAGCAGCCACACAAGACTGGAAAGTGTGGGTGGTCAGGGTGCAAAGTCTTAGATAACCCAGCCATTCAGTTGATATTACGTATCCATGACTACATCTTGAGTCCTCCCCAGAAACAGCATTTAATTCATCTCAGAAAAGTAAAAAAGTTTATTATTGAATAAATGATAGAGCCCCACCTACTGTTGCTTTACTGTATACATTTCTAGATGCACATACGCAATGCGAGTATAATTCGTCAGTGTATTGATGGGCATTTCTTTTATAGAAGCCCTAATTATGGATTATAACCCCACAGTGTGTATGTTTTGCATACACACATGACTGCCTAACTTGCAGCTAAAATCTAAAAATATAAGAGCATTTCTTTCCATCACTCTCTGATTCAGGCTTCCCAGTTAATATGAGCATACACACATAGAAAAACCTCTCCAGGGAAAGACTGAAATTTTCCAAAAAGCCTTGACAATCTTTTGGTCAGCATTTGACAGAGCAAATACTCATTTCGCTGGCAACACTGGGGTTTAGAGTCACAGAAGTTCCATCACCTGTTACTGTTCTTACCAGATTATTTGACATGTATGTTTTCTACCCAGACTCTCTCTGCTCACGTGTAAAGGAGAGCAAAGTATTCCAGCAATATGAACATCCCCTAAAGTGGCAGAAATTTTGTAGCCCAAATAGAAAAGTCTAAATACGGTTGATATGCTGGAGGGAAGGAATGCCATCCAGATGGGCCTTGACACGCTTGCGAGGTGGGCTGATGCCAACCTTATGAAGTTTAACCATGCCAAGTGCAAGGTCCTATACCTGGGTTGGGGCAATCCCAGGCACAGCTACAGGTTGGGCAGAGAAGAGATTCAGAACAGCCCTGTGGAGAAGGACTTGGAGGTGTTGGCCGATGAGAAAATGAACATGAGCCAGCAGCCCAGAAAGCCAACTGTATCCTCGGCTGCCTCAAAAGAAGCACAACCAGCAGGTCAAAGGAGGTGATCCTGCCCCTCTACTCTGCTCTTGTGAGACCTCACCTGGAGTATTGTGTGCAGTTCTGGTGTCCTCAACATAAAAAGGACATGGAACTGTTGGAACAAGTCCAGAGGAGGACCACGAGGATGATCAGGGGACTGGAGCACCTCCCATATGAAGACAGGCTGAGAAAGTTGGGGCTGTTCAGCCTGGAGAAGAGAAGGCTGCGTGGAGACCTCATAGCAGCCTTCCAGTATCTGAAGGGGGCCTATAGGGATGCTGGGGAGGGGCTCTTCATTAGGGACTGTAGTGGCAGGACAAGGGGTAATGGGTTAAAACTTAAACAGGGGAAGTTTAGACTGGATATAAGGAAGATGTTTTTTACTGTTAGGGTCGTGAGGCACTGGAATAGGTTGCTCAGGGAAGCTGTGAATTCTCCATCCCTGGCGGTGTTCAAGGCCAGGTTGGACAGAGCCTTGGGTGACATGGTTTTGTGTGAGGTCTCCTTGCCCATGGCAGGTGGGTTGGAACTGGATGATCTTAAGGTCCTTTCCAACCCTAACTATTCTACGATTCTACAAAATAGCACTTGCATAGAAGATAGGGTACATGTTTTCAGTACATTGAAACACAATATGCAAGGAGTTAGTGAAAGTACTATCCAGACAATTAAATGACTTGTCCTAGCTGATACCTATCCAGTGCATTTCCTTATCATAATGAATGCAACATAGAAGTTAATTTACAGCACACACAGCACAGCACTTTCAAAAATGCCTATTTAATCTGTCTCCTTGTCATTTGCTTTTCTTCTATTTCGACTTAATCTGTACTGGAATTCCTATTGCAAAGGGAAATCTTGAAAGAACTTCAGTTAAATCCCATCTTCAAAGTGGAAGGCCTATTTTGAAAACACCAAAATACATTTTTGCAATCCGTTGCAATAATAAATCAGTATCACATTTTGGAGTTAATGTCTTTCCTTTGTTACCATTTACTACAAGTTCACAGTTTGATGCAATTCTAAAATAACAGAACTGTGTCAAAACCACAAAGATAAAACACCTTGTGCAAGCAAAGTGAATTGAAACAGCTAATAAAATGTAACAGCTGGAGAAAAGGACCAATTCATGTATCACATTGATAATGGCGACAAGCTTCAAAAATCTTCAAAACCTATTGTTAGCTGTCAGCAATTGTTCCATTCTGTCAGTTTAATAGGTGATAAGGCAAAAAGGTAGAAGGACACCTTCCATATTATAAGTACAATTATTACCACAATTTTATGGTAGTGTTTTGATAATGATTTTAAACAAAGATCTCCCAAATATGGTTGCCAGCATCTTAATAAAGCTAAATAGAAATCATTTTATAACTTCCTATTTGAGTATTAAATGAAGTACAAACATCTGTCTAGCCTGACCTGCCCCTTTTTTTGCTCAATTGTAATATTTGCTGGTAACATCTGGTACGGATTTACTTACCCCCCAAAAGGTACTAGAACATTTGAAACTAGCGAAGTAAAGGACATGGTCACAAATACTGACTGTTGTTTAAGTTATACAAAATATTTTATGACAGGATGCTGAAATTATTGATATTCCTTTAATTTTGTCAAAAATTTCAGAAATAGTTTTAGCTGAAAATTCTGACAGTTTCTAAATAATAAAAATTTCATTATGGTATTTTCAAAATCTGAGTAAATAAAATTATAGCAAACATCAAGAACTCACAAATGAGAGAGAACATTTTGTTCTTGGTACTAGAAACCACTCTACACCAACCTCAAAATATATACATTTTCACAAACTCACAAAACAAAAAAAATCCTTCTCCCCTCTCCATCATTAAAATCTGAGGTGTAGCTGTGCTCTCACCTGTCTCCAAAAGTCACCCACTGTGCTTGCACAAATATATACATCAGTTGATTAAATAAAGGCGTGCAGTATTACATGCAGCAGAATATCTCAAAAAAGAACAGGCTGCTGCTGTGCTGAGAACTTTTCAGAACTTTAAAGCACATACAGTTACTGGATATAGCGTGACAAAATTTAAGTTTAAACTATATATATATGATGGGTTTATTACAACTGTTAAAAGCTCGAAGTTTATTTATAACTGACGTTTAGCATTTATGTAACATATATTACTTTCTCATCAAAATCAATAGAGTACTAGGAACACAGTTTTGAAAAACTTATTTAAAAGACAAGTTGCTCCCTGAGTATTTGGAGGATATCCTTGAACAGCATGGCATTATGCACAGACCAAAAATCTAACATTTCTAAATTCTTCACCAGAAGTATATTTTTATAAGGATGAGCCACACAATGTCTTTGATGTTTTCATGATACTAGGACAAGAGCGCATTAAACAGTCTGTTTCTTCCCTCAGGGATGTTACTGCAAAGCTGCAGCAGCAAAAAACACTTTGTTAAATACAACTGCTAAAATCCAATGGCAAAAGAGACAGGAACCCAAAACGGTGCAAAACACTTCTGGCAAGGTAATACCGATATATTTCATCGCTGTCTATAACACCAGGAAGCCAGCCCATGTACTCTGTAGACTTTCTTTAACACTAGCTCAAAGAATTTGTGATACACAGTTCTTGTCATTAAGTTCCAAAAATAATTTCCCCTGGAAAAAAAGAAAAAAAAAAAAGAAAAAAAAAAGAAAGGAAATAATGGTTTAATGCAGTAATTTGCTAAATAGTTGAAAGTTTCACTAGACTGCTGAATAACTCAGCATTGAAATCCTTCTCTGATTTCTAGATCTTCGTTTAAAGCATAACCCCACCTCTGAACATACAGGCTGAAATCTATAAATTTGACAATCTCAGCTGGGTTCTTACTCCATCTTGTTCTCTAAAATGACAGGGCATCCTGAGAGTGAATGTATCTAAGAGGTAGGAAAAGAAGTATCGTTTGGAGTCAGGATGAAAGGGAGATAGGCATGTCATAGACAGTTTCTGAAAAAGTAAATATGAAATGAAGAAACGTAAGTATACATGCTACTAATTTTCCAGAATGCTCATCATTCTGTGTTTAGAAATACACCGAGCCTGAGTACAGATACCGAAGTCTTGTGAGGCAGCACTTTCAACTTCCATACTGCTAAGTATACAACCCACAGAATTCTCATTACCAGTTAGGACCTTGTGTGAATACCAATTTTCACATCACACGGGAGTGTGAAAAATGGAAATCTCTCTAGGACAGATCAAATGACTGGAATTAAATTTGAAGGGCCAGATATTTGGAATAACTCCATTGAGTTAGGCAGCTTTACGGCACTTGAGAGACGGGCTTGAGGTACATATTAATCTCTTTAAAGTATTTCAAGCATTCTAGTAGTGTCTTCTAATAGCAACTTTTAAAATGTGTGCAGGCCTGAAAGTAAGTTAATATTAGGTGTGTTTTATCCTCATGTAACAGTATCAAAGGAGAAAAAAAAAAGGACCATCTGAATTATTGTAACTGCAAACTCATATTCCAACCCTGATACTACTCATGGATATCAAGAAGGAAGCTTTCCAATAATACTCATATGAACGTCAACTTCAGTCATAGAAAAAGTAGTTTTGACTATCACACATTCAGTACAGTCAAATTAATTACCACAGCAAGGTGTAAAGTGAAACTGAAGACTGTAAATAAAAGGCACACAGGGTTAAAAAGCATGTATGTTTATAGATTATTTAGAATGAAAATGTTATAGAAAGTTAAAGATAGTGTATCTATACCAATTGGCTCCACTGGTTATTGCAAGTTTCAATAAATAAATCAATAAATATTCTAAACCACTGATTTAGAAATAAAGGACATTTATTTTGCATTTGGAAATCTTCAAAGACATTTCAACAGAAACATGTAGGATGTATGACTATTTATCTTTGTGAAGTTGCAGTTCTGTAAGGAATAAAAGATATATGGAGAAGTTCAAGGTGTCAACCTTGCTGGGCAAAATTTATACTTCTTTTTCCTTTCTTTTCTTTTCCTGCAAAAATGCACAGTACTATCTGTACTAGTGAGTATATAACCTCCTGAATTTCTACTAAAGGTATTATATTTTTCCACTTCATCCTTTCCTTATTAAGGTTTCCTTAGTTTTTAGAAACAAGTTTGAAACAGGGTGAAATCAGTGCTGTAATTCTGCATAACATTATGTAACTTAATCCTATGAGGACAGGCCCTAAAATAGAAAAAAAAGGTCCAATTCTATTTGTGCAAATATGAATTTCAAGATTTAAGATTGAATAGCATTGATTTTAAAAGTTTAACAGCATAATACAGAGTCATTTGTGAAGAGTGGGTCCATAACCAAAAATACCTTTAAAACCTCTTGTAGGGCATGAAAAGAATTCGAATTTTGTTTATTTGATTCTATGTTTTAATTCATAAGTGATGCTAAAATATTTCCATCCGTGAGTAGGAAAAGAAACAAGGCATTTTACAATTCTTGATTATTTCTGCCTGTAAATGGGTTGCTCAGTATTGCCTACTTGCTTGTTCCTTAACAGCAATTCCAGAAAAAGGATATAATGAGCCAAACAGAAGCCAAGGCCAAAGTAACTTACAGACTAGTTTGCTTAATTTCTGTTTTTAATGTTTCCTCACTTGGCAATTTTAACCCATGCTCTCTGTGTCACTTAAGCAGTGTTATATCAGGGCAGAAAATAACTCAGATTTCATATAAAGTGTTTTCATAGTAAGGATGAGGAAAAACCCTCTCACTTTTGCTCATAAAGCTAACTATTTCAGATACAGATTATATGAACACTATAAATATGAAAGGCATAATCAGTCATTCATAGGTCTTTCCATTACCAGGAAAAAAAGCAAAAAAAAATCAAAAGTAAGGGCATATGAGGCTTGTTACAAAACTATATAAGCTCTGCACAAAACGTGGTCCCACAGACACTAGCCAAAATGCCTACAGGCGATGTAATTTGCATTTACTATTGTGTAATTAAAAACAAAACAAATCAAACCCCAAGGATAACAAGTGCACAGTTAGCTTCTGCTTGTCAGATTCAACCATTCCTGGCTATTTAATTACTGACCAGCAATAGCAATATGTTCTTCCCTAACCTGCAAGCATACAGACGTCTCTGGTCATGGCATAGCATTTTGCGATATGGAGCAGCCTGACTTAAAGGGCAAGGCTTGTTGAGTTTCCCCTGCACCTTGCAGAAGCTTCTGTCAGTGTCAGAAAGGTTGCGGTGTGCAGTAGAGAAGACAGGGAATACACACAGGTTTACAGACAGCTTAACCCCTTTCTCAGTCAAAATACTAAAAACTCATCACTGCACAAAATTATTAAGGCACAATGTGAATTAGAGTTAGAAAATTTGTCCCTGCCTGACAGTATTCTCTCATCCTTCTAGGAAACTAACTTTGGTGTCTGTACTGGTGAGCTCAGCATTCAAAATGCTGTTTGTGGAAAACAATTCAGTATCATAGAATGGTCATCCTACAACCATAGAATGGTTTTGGTTGGAAGAAACCTTAAGTATCATCTAGTTCCAACATTTTCCACTAGGCCAGTTTGCTCAAAGCTGGATCCAACCTGGCCTTGAACACTTCCAGGGCTGGAGCATCCACAACGTCTCTGGGAAAACTGTGCCAGTGCCTCACTACCCTCAAATAAAGAATTTTTCCCCTATTATCTAATCTAAATCTACCCTCTTTTAGGGAGTATCCCTTCCTTCCAGAGTGTCGACTGCACCACACAGCTTGCTGTTGTCAGCAAACTTTACTCAATCCCACTATCCACATCGCCGACAAAGATGTCCAACACAAGTTGCCTTGTATAAATCCAGGTAGATAATGTCAGTTGCTTTTCCCTTATTCACCAATGCTTTTACCCTGGCATAGAAGGACACCAGATTTATCAAGCATGATTTGTTCTTAGTGAAGCCATGTTGGGGGCTATCAATCGCCTCCTTATTTTCCATGTACCTTAGCATAGTTTCCAGGATGATCTGTTCTATGATCTCACCAGGCACCAAGGTGAGACTGACTGACCTGTAGTTCCCCAGGTCTTACTTTTTTTGCTTTTAAAAAATGGGGGCTGTTTCAGGTCAGTGGAAACTTCACCAGACTGCCATAACTTTTCAAATGTTATGGTGTCCTGGGTTCAGCAGTAGCAGTCATTTTTCTCCTTCTTAGTAGCTGGTGCAGTGTGGTGATTTTGACTTTCAGCCGGGGAACAATGTTGGTAACACCAGTTTTTAGTTGTTGCTCAGTAATGCTTACTCTGACTGAGTACTTTCTGAGCCTCATGCTCTGCAGGGAGGAGGAGAAGCAGAAAGGAAGCAGAGACAGGACACCTGACCCAAACCAGCCAAAGAGGTATTCCATACCACAGCACATCATGCCCAGTATCTAAACTGGGGCAATTACCTGGAAGGGCTAGGTCACTGCTCAGGTCGGGCTGGGTATTGGTCGGCGGGTGGTGAGCGGTTGTATTCTCTTCCCTTGTTATTTCCCTTATCATTATTATTATTGGTGGCAGCAGTAGTGATTTGTGTTATACCTTAGTTACTGGACTGTTTTTATCTCAACCCATGGGAGTTCCATTCTTTTGATTCTCCTCCCCATCCCTCTGGGAGCAGGGGAAGGAAGTGGGGGGAGTGAGCAAGTGACTGCATGGTTCTGAATTGCTGGCTGGGCTTAAACCACAACATATGGATAATGGCTTATCCATTTCATCCACCAGTTCCTTCATGACCTTCACAAACTGGTGGTTCTTCCTTCTCCTAGTCTCCACCCTTGCCTTGTGTGGCTATAGCAATTGCTTATGAAGACTGAGGCAAAAAAGTCATTGAATACCTCAGCCTTCTCCATGTCCTTGGCAACCAGGTCTCCCATTTCCTTTTGGACAGGGCCCACATCTTCACTCATTTTCCTTTCATCACAGACATACCTACAGAGGCTTTATTGTTGCCCTTGTTGTTCTTGGCCAGATTTAATTCTATAAGGGCTTTAGCTTTCCTAACCTGAACCCTGGCTGCTTGGACAATTTCTGTATTCCTCTCAGGCTACCTATCCTTGCTTCCACCCTCTGTAGGCTTCCTTTTTGCGTGCAAGTTTTTTCAGGAGCTCCTTTTTCATTCAAGGCCTTGTGGTCTCCACAGAAATTCTAGTCAAGTACCTTTTCTAAGAGATATCTTGATTAAGCCACAAGCAGCAAGAGATGGATTTGCTCCAGAAAAGTAGAAAGAAGCTTTAGCAAAAAAAAAAACAAAGCAAAACAAAACCAAAAACCAAACCAACCAACCAACCAAAAAAAAAAAAAAAACAGCAGCAAAAAGATGAAAAAAAGTATGTATAGGGGGACTCATTTTCGTACCTTTTAGGAGAGCAGTATAGGAATTTAATCATCAGAAGAGAAATGGATCTAGAAAATGTATCCTTCTAGCAGGTAAAAGTCATGTCATTGCCACAGTATCAACTGTTCTGTAATTGTTACCCATTCATTATAGTAATACTATCAAGATGTGTATATTTTCTGAGAACAAATGCCCTTCTTCCATTCTCAGAAAATAATGAATTTGCAAAAGAACTTGAATGGAAATCAAGACTGATTTTTTCCTCTTCCAGGAACTATTTCTTAATTGTCAAAATAAATTCTACTGAAGACAATAGAAAACAATAAATTGAGTATGCTAGTTTTCTTGTAAGCACAGTATTTTTCAGAGTGATTTTAAAGCTGGAAAGTCCAGAACACAGTATTATAAAAGTATTTTAGTTCACAATCAATCTATCAGGCTGGCCTAGTTTTAGTCAAACGTGTTAAGGAAAAGGAAAAGAAAATGAAACCAAGCTAAAAGCGACAAAGTGTAACAGCTTGTAGCGTGTGAATAGTCCAACCAATGAATTTCTTAGACCGTCACAAAAAAATGAAAAAAGAGAGCTTCTAGGAAAACATTTCATTTATATTCCTAATAATGAATCACACGGGTTTGCCATACATAGCTGCAGACTGTCCTTCCAGTAACAAAATAAAATGTTCTTAGGAAAGGTGAATAGAAAATTCCATTTCTGTAAATAGATTTCACACGTGAGATAATATAAAAAGTGATAGATTTCCCATGAAGAGCAAGTATACTGCAGCTTTAACTAAGACTGTCTAGTCTCTGCAGGATCCCAGCAGTGGCACACTGAGAAGATCCCTATCAGCAATTTTTATTTACCTTCCACCCCCTACCAGCTCTAATAACACCTGCTAAATTTCTTTGCATGCTCTGCTATATGAAACAAAAAAATGTTGTTTCAAATGATACTTTTTAAAATGTCATCTAAAATGCAATATCTTATAGAATATAAATCTTTTTTGACAGAACAAAGTAAAATACCTTTTCAAGGAAGTCATGATGTTAAAGATTAGCACAGTTGGCCCCATTCTTTGTGACAGAATGGCAGTGATGTAAGAGCATCTTCTCACATCACTCTGTATTTTTGTTGTTCACAGGCATACAACTGTTTTATGAATCCTCTCTAGTTCCCCATGAGCCTCAGGGTGCCATCCTTTTCTGTCCTCCCCTTCCACTTGATTTCCATCATCATGTGTTTGTTTAACAGTAATGACTCTTGCTTACTCATTTCCTCAGTTTATCAAAACTGTTCATATTGTTCAAGAGTACAGGAAATGAAGGAGGAATAAACCAATCCCTCCAAATCCTGAGATACTGTAGCTATGAAAGAGTGCTGGAAAAGCAAAGAGACAAGTAACTTAGAGATACAGCTTTATGAATGTGAAGGGGATTCTCAATGGATTGACATTCCTTGCCATCACTGAATTCTCTTTTGCCCTTACTTCTTGTCGTGCCACATCGACCTGGACTACTTTGTATCAAAAGATATCCAGTGGGATTATTTACATCAGTGACAAAAAACAATGGAAATAAATTAACTGCCAGAGACAGATTTTTTGCAAGAGGTGAGGTTGGGTGACTATTACTCATCACAATTAGAGAATCTAAAATTACCGTATTAGTAATCAGCCAAGTGCTTATTTGTCACTCCATCCTTGAAATTACACATGGTGCCATTTCAGGAAAAGACAGCGAACTCATGTAGGCCTTCTTATATAACTAGGATGTTCTTAGTAGAGTGCAGCATTTGCCCCAGTAGTTACTTGCATGTCCTATATTCATAAGTACCCACCTTTCTATAAGCCTATATCCAGCCTGCATATAACAATTTATAACATAATTTAAAATGTTATATATACACAGTGATTTTCAATACCACAACATTGCAGTTAAAGTAGATCGTCTGAGAGTTGGCATGCTTTGTTAAATTTTATTTACAGTTACTTGCAAATTAATTCTTGTTTCCTGCATGACTAATACATTAGATGAGAGTAGAAAAATAGGATGAATCCTCATGACGAGACAAATACTAAGCTTGAGGGGAGAAATACTAACTTACAGAAAACACTACAGGGTTTTGTATCAGCATCCTTCCACGATTGCTGCCATAAATTAAAGGTTGGGACAATTGTTTGTAAGGTAACCTTGTTTCACTGCACTTTTTCAAGCATGAGCACCTAAGGTACTATAAACAGAAAATCTGTTTGGGGCTCATGGACTTGTGGTTCCTTCTGATATGTGCTGAAATACGTCCTAGAAAACCAACTTCAGTTTCAGCATATCTGAATATTCTGGATCCAAGCCCACTGATAAATCCCTCTGTTTATAAGGCAGTCAAGGGTATGTCTTTCATTTATATCAAAAAATACTGGTCTTGTACACCACAGAACAATCCTATGCACATCTATGCAGACAACCTAAGAATTTGACAAGCATTTATGTAGACATGAAAAGAATTGGTACTCATACACCAGATGATGTACCTCATACAGAGACATCTAATGAAATTGTCTTTTCTGTTTATGTAATATCCCCTCCCCCCCAAAAAATTCAGAGAAACTTAATATCTTTAAGACTTTAAGGAATGCAAAAATGTCTTTTGTGATGGAGCAAAACAAAATAAATAGGTTGATTGACTACACACAGCACAGAATAGGCAAGAAGGGTTCTAAAAGATCAGTTGAGCCAATAATTGATAAATAAAGAATATGCAACTGACTGAAAATGCCTCATATAAACCAAAGTCCATTCCAGAACAAACACACACACCCCACCCCCACCCCCCACCCCAATGTGTGTTTCATTGTGTGACTCTTTAAAATCCTGGTGGAAAAATCTCTTTAGCTCCTAAAATCCATATAGTTTATCCTTAAGAAATGTTTACACAGAGCTTAAATATAGTGAAGTTACTTAGATGAAAAAAGATCTTTTACATATCTGCAAATCATGCGGTTGAAAAATGAAAAAAAAAACAAACATCCCAAACCGAGAAAATAGATATTAATTTTTTTCTAGCTGGTAAATGACAGGTGCTTTGGATGAGTACTTAGTTACTATAATAACTATGCTCTAGGCGGCAAGGACAAAATGCAGAGTGGGCATTACACTATCTTTTTGTTCCTTAGAAAACATAGCCACACATATTTTGTACTGTATTTCACTACAAGATAGTAATAGCTATACACTTATTTATATCCTCTTTAGTTATCCATATACTTTAAGACTATGATGAAACTTCACAACTTCTTTAGGGACTAGTTCCTGTATGGATCATATCTATTCAGCAAGATAAACAAACCAGTGGCTTTGCATCCTCAATATCTCATAAAAAGCTGGTTCACTGACTACAAGAACTGGATTGTGTAAAGCAGATGCTCTGGCTCCATCAATACTAATAA